GGTGTTCTCAGTGTTAATCTTGACTAGAAACAAATACCATCCCAACATCAGTGAACAACCTTGGTCACAACTCAATATTCCAACCTGTACACTGACATCTAATTCCCGGTGGGAAGATTAAGGTGAACATGCTAGGTATTGAACCATCGGGTAAATATTGAAACTGATCATTGACTGTTCAGAATGGCGGCCGGTATATTACATTAGACTCCTTGAAACATAGTTTTATTCCTAGGAATTTGCACTTTTATGAAATAATTGTAATTCTACTTTAATCCACTTAATAATCTGTTTAAGATTATTTATTAAGATGTAAAAGAAAGGTAAAAAGCAAGGTAAAACGAAAGAGAGGGAGGGACAAGCATATAGGTAAGGGACGTAGTTAGAATATAGGGTGGGGCATGCGCAAATCGATATATGACAGGGTAAACAAAGCACATTTAGGTAAAGGTATGAAGTGAATGGAAGAAAGGGTAATAGAATGGAAGATGAGGTAATTTATTTTAAGTTGAATAAAGGGTAAGGTAAGTCAAGGGAAAGAAAAAAGTTGAAGAAAGGAATGGATGACGAGAAGGTAAAGGTAAAGGTAAAGGTTAGGTAAGAGGATCAGGTGAAGGTAAGGTTAGAAAACAAAAAATAGCAGTAGGAGGAGAAGGATATATAAATAATCCTACATTGTATGTAAATGTCGTTGATGGTATTGGTATTAGTGTTGTTTGTTGGTTTCGTGTTGTTTCCTGCTGAAAATGCAAGAAAAAATCAATTAGATGAATAAAAAAAACGTATACACAGACTTAATAATGTACTAAAAGACTTACTTTTGCTGTTGGTTTATTTGTTGTAGATATAGATGTTGGTGTTGGTGTTGGTGTTGGTGTTGTTGATGTTGATGGTGATGCAGCTGGAAAAAAGAAGAAAAGATTATAAAGAACATGAAAAACAAAATATAAAACTTACCTTTATTTAAAAGAAACAAAAGAAAAGAATAGAAAACGAGTTAAACCTAAATAAAAACTGATTAAAACAAAATTTAAACAAATCTGTAAAAAACTTTTGGGTTGATGTTGTTGTTGATGATGATGATGT